TTTTTTATCCTTTTTTGTGTTTGTTCTTCTATCTTAGTGGTATTCAGAGATTTGTCTTCCAGCTCACTGGTTCTACCTTCCATCACATCTATTCTACTCCTCTGCCCTTTCAGAGTGTTCTCTATTTCTGTTATTTTGTTATTGATCATTTGGACCTCTTTCTTTAGGTTTTGAATTCTTTCCAATGCTGTATCTATCTTATTTGATTGTTCCTGCTGCACTTCCCTGGCTTCTTCCTTATGTTACTCAACTCCATTGTAAAGTGTTTTGAAACATTTTATGATCATTATTCTGAATTCCATCTCAGGCATTTCCAAGGCCTGCCCTCCTTCCAGAATGGAGTCCAGGTCTACTTCTAGGTCATATGTCTCAGACACTTTATCTTGTTTCTGGACAAGTGCTGATATGGTCATCTGCTTTTGCTTGTTGGACATGTTGAATGTTTATCTGTGGCCTTAATACTTAATTGAATATGTGTTTTGATATTTTTTATGCTTTCTGATTGCTTCCAGGAAGGTGTGATAGGATGTGGGCTTCCCTTTTCACTCTTCTTATTGTTTAACTCAGAGTAACTTTCACAGGTGTTGTCTGTTTCCCTGCTATATGGCAGTTGGTATTGGTTCTTGCCTGGGTTTTGGTGTTTTATAGGCTGTGATTGTAGGTTGGCTGTATGGTAGCAGTTGCTGACTCTTCTTGTGTAATATAGGGAGACAAAGAGTTCTCCAAAGGCAGAAGGGGGAGCATATAACAGCAAAAAAATACCAGCCCAAAAAAAAAAAAAAAGACTGAAAAAACAGCAACAACAAAAACAAGACTGATACTGAAGTCTCTTTATCTCTGCGGTTCTGTCAGGTGTCCGTGGCTGCTCTGATCCTTTCCTCGCTTGGCCCCACACAAAATGGCAGCTCCTGGAGCAGCTAAGTGTCCCGAACCAGGAAGCAATGGATTTCTTGCTTCTGCCACACACTCTCCAGCTGTAAGTCTTCCAACCTTCTAAATATTCTTTTAGATGTAGTTCAGAGTACTGGGACAATTCCCTGAGCCTTCTTGGTCCTGTATTCTGTGTTGTTCTCAGCAGAGCTCGTCACTACACTTCCACCCGATCCACCATCTTTTTCCGGAAATCCAACCTATTGTATTTTGTTTCACTGCAATGATTATAATCTCCTCCATACATCATCAATTAACAGTATTTGCTTTCATTACCTCTATTTTTTTGATGTACACAAAACCACGCAGGAATATATAATCATTTAAACAACCAAAGAAAGGGCAGCCTCCTGGCCGACAGCACACAACCTTTCTCTTTCCATGAGTCTAGAGTCTTCAGCTGCTCAATCTCTCCATGCCATCACTTCTGCCACCATCTCTGGTTAGGGTCCAGTGTTCCACTCATGCTCTTCTCTCTTGATGGTCTTATGGGTCCTCTCTGTTCCTGGAAAAGATTAACTCCCCCCAACTTTTGTTATTTACAGCATGACAATCACAATTAGTCATGATAACAATTACTTACTATTGAATCAAATATATCCTATCCCTGTTTCCTTTCACCAGATCCATATAGACAAGATGAAAACTATTCAGTGAAGATTCTACCTTCCACCACACTCTGAAATTAAACTCCCTCTTGAAAACTTGTAAGCCAGCCACTTCATGCCTTTATAGCCTCCCACCCCCACCCCAATTTTAGGTAGCCAATGTCTAAGTTGCCTGTCCCCATCAACTCTGTGTACAGAGGGGATGGTTTGATCCTTGATGTGAAGACTCTGTCCCTCTCTGTTGGTACTTTGAGCTACTACACTTAACCTGTGAGTATAGGTTAAGTTCATCAAATTGTAGCAATTTACATTCACAAGTTTAATGAACAGCTTTTTGTTTTTAATACTCATTCTTAAAATTCACCCAATTTAAATATGCATTTTATGATCCTTTGGTTATATCTTTATTACAGCACTTAGGGTGAGTTTTGTTTACATATATAGAGTATACCAGTTGGTGAGTTTCTGTCTCTCACATAATGCGGGTACACTGTCTGGTACAAAATGTATTTTTGTATGAAATAAGTAGCATCATAAATGTATCTGAGATTGCTACTTTTAGAAATAAATAAACTTTACTCTGTGGTCCAAGTTTTGGGGTTTTATAAGAAAAATAGTTTATTTAAAAACACATGATGGGTGGTTCAAACCCACTAGCTGCTCTTTACAAATCTTGTACAGGGTCACTATCAGTTGGAACTGACTTGATGGCATTTAACAAGTCTGTCATTAGATTGTGCCACACATTTTCAACAAATGTGACCTAAAATGGAGGATAGGAAACACCAGTGCCACAAATGATACAACTAAATTTCTCTATAATCCCTGAAGTCTATCTACCAGCATTCTCCACAGACATAACTTTTCCAAGATCTTTTGCCCACAAAGGAGCCTGAGAAGATGCAGTCAGTGGCCCAGAAGACAAAAAGGAGTTTTCAGGATGAAAAGCATGGTCAGCAGTGACTAAACAGGGCTGACAATTAAATGAGAATTTCAAAATATCTTATGGATGTTGTAACCTTTTGAGGAAGTTTAGAAAGGTATGGCTGAAGGGACGGGTCTAAGATAGGCTCAGCTAGGGAGGGGGAGAGAGAGACAGAAACAAAAGATGAGGCTAATGTGGTAAGAAGGAGTCCTGGCGCAGAGCTGTGGGTTAATGCACTGGATTGCAAAGTTGGTTTGAACTGCAAGGTCAGTGGTTCAAGATCATTAACCGCTTCTCAGAAAGCCTATACAGGGGTCGTTATGGGTCGGAAACGACTTGACGGCACTTAATAACAACAACAATGTGGTAAGAGTCTTCTCTTCAGCCTTCTGCAAGATCAACTGGATTTTCCTGGGATGAGCAAGTGACCTGGGCAGGGTGGGACTCAGTAGTCACTCCTGTGGTTTCCTGGTTGTTGGCACTGAGTTTGCTTTAGGAGAGTCTAGACACTCCAGTGCTCTTTTGATGCTACCTGGGGAATGTTCTCCCCCAGCCCTCGAAGCCGGTCTGTACTGGGTGGGTGCACTTCATTGCGCAACTTCCGGGACAGTACGGGTCTCGAGGGACGCGTCGGTCAGCGTTCCCACGAGGCGGCGCTCACGTGACTCCACCGAAGCCCTCGAACGCAGCGCCCTGGAGCCCATGGGCGCGGGTCACCTTGACCTTCTTGGCTGGGAACAGCTTCAGCTCCACCGGACAGTTGCCGCAGACGCTCTGAAGGCGCAGTCTTGCGAAGCCCGGGCGTGGTCGTGGAAGAGGCGGTGACAGGTGACTCCAAGCTGTGGACAAGACGGCTTCGCTTGGAGGCGAGGCGCCGAGTGGTCCCCGCCGCCGCGGGCCAGTGTCCAAAGGGCCATGCTGTGCTGGCTGAAGGGTTTCGTGCTACCCCAGGCGGCCTGCCAGAACCGTTCCTACAGCCTTTACGAGGCTCTATTTGAAGAGCTGGACCACAATGGGGATGGGGTGGTGGACATCGTGGAACTTCAGCAGGGGCTGAAAGGCTTGGGTTCCTGGTTTTCCGTGGGCTCAGAGCAGGTGAGTGGCCAACAGAACGTGGCTTTGGGAGTCTGGAGAGACGTTGGCTAGAAGGTGAAGTCAAACTTGCCCTTTGAGAGTTCCCTTCAAAATCTATGAAAGGTGGGTGGAGCTCTCTCTCAGAGAATAACGCAGCCAAGTGAAACAGGTTTTAAAGTTTGTTCTTATATCGTGACAGTGACAAAGCCCTTCTCCTGAACTTTTTGTTGTTGTTGTTAAGTGCCGTGGAGTTGGTTCTGACTCATAGCGACCCTGTACAGGCTTTCCGAGGCTATAAATCTTTACAGGAGCAGAGAACCTAATCTTTCTTCCGCGGAACAGCTGGTAGTTTCGAACTGCTGACCTTGCGGTTCACAGCCCGATTCGTAACCACTACGCTACCAGAACTACTAAATGGAGTGCTGGACTCCTGGTGTGGCGCTGTAGGATCAGCACTGGATCATGAACCACAAGGTCGGCAGTTCAAACTTACCTTCGGAAACAGGGTTGCTCAGAACTGACTTAATGGCACTTTACAACAAGTGGAGTGTACTGGTGTAGCGCTATAGTATACACTGGGCTGCTAACTGTAAGGTCGGTGGTTCAAACCCACCAGCTGCTCCTGGAAACTCTAGAAACCCTAAAGAGGGTCACTATGAATTGAAACTTGCTAGGTGGCACTTAACAACAACAACAAAAAGTGGGTTTTTATGGGCTCATTGAACATTTACTGAACCCATACAGAATTTCAGGGACCATGTTAATCTTGTGAATGTAGAAGTGGAAGACAGTCTTAGCTCTCAGAAAATTCAAAGCCCAGAGAAGCTTCAGTGTCTTATTTAAACTGCAAGAACAGATGGGTGTCCCAGAGCGTTCCTCTTTCTGATACTCACCAGAGGGGTCTAGAGGAAATTAGATCTTTATCTTTACACTTCCTTTGGTTGTTTAGTACATCCCCTAAATGAGGTGGCCATGGTCACAAAGGACAAGTTAACTAATAACTACAGGCTGGTCGTGACTTTATTATTTTTAAACTATGTAGAATTTGATGAGAGCGACAATTATTTTATTTTATATCCTCCAATGCTAAACAAGCTTTAGATATTACCAACTGATTTCTGATCTCTACCAGTAACTGTTTGTTTGATTGTTTTGATGAGCAAACCATCTGGGCACCTATTTATTTAGTCCTGGGGACAGACACAGGAAGGAGACTTGCCTTCGATTTACAGTCAGGTTTTGCAGGCTAGACAGGTGATTGTTTCAAAGGTGAGAAGAGATGACCTCCTTTATTACGTGCTCTGCTGCAGAAGTGCCCATCTTTGTTAAAAACTAATAACATGGTTACCATTTGGGGTTAACTTTTTTATATGGGGTGTGGTATGGGTCCAACTTGATATTTTTACATGTCGAACTGCAGTTGTCCTAGCAACATTTATTGAGACTATTTCTTCCCTACTGAATGGACTTAGCACGCTTTTGGGAAAATAAATCATATGGGTTTGTTTTCTGAATTTTCACTTTTATTCCATTGGTCTATACATCTATCCTTACACCAGTATAGACAGATAATTTTAATATCATGTGTCAGCTGTAACAGAATAAAGGACATGCAGTAGTTAATCCAGTGTGGGTCTTTAGAGGGAGCATCTTTCAGAGAAAGGAGTCCTAGTGGTGCAGTGATTAAGTGCTCAGCTGCAACCCAAACCCATCAGCTTCCTTCCTATGACAAAGATGGAAAGTCTGGTCCCATAAAGATGATAACCGTGGAAACTCTAGGGAGCAGTTCTACTCTGTCATATAGGGTCGTTATGAGTTGGAATGGACTGGACAGCAATGGGCTATCTTTCTGGGAGGACTACCAGTAGGAGATAATATATTTGTATAAGCTGAGACTTGAAGAGTGAATACAGTTAGTCAGATACAGAAGCAGATGTTCAAAGCAGAGAGAAGAAATCTAACAAGGAAGCCATGATGTGCTATAGGTTCTCAGGTATCAGTGTTAACCCCAAGCTTATGTCCAATAGTCCTCAAAATAGTTGGATATTTCTCTTGCTTAAGTATCTTATTTGTCAAATTAATGGCTACATTCCCTTTGGAGAATAATTGTATCTTGCTCCTGGATATTTGCCATGACATTGCAGAATTTCCCCCTGGAAAATCTGGCCTTCTCCTTCAGTTAGTAGATTCCAGGTCTGAGTACTGACTCAGGTCAGGACACTGGGCAGACGATTGTTACTCTTTATTAGGCTGCTGTAAGACTGGCGTGGCTCTGTAGAATAAGCACTGGACTGCTAATTGAAAGGTTGGTGGTTCAAACCCCCTAGCTGCTCTTTGGAAATCCTATACAGGGTCACTATGAATCAGAACTGATTTGACGACACATCTGCAAAGCCTTCTGACCTTGACTTATTTTGGTTTTATAGATTGAGCAGTCTTTGTTGGGTGTACATTTCTCTTGCTCTTGGGAAAGCTGTTTTTGATTAATAATATTCTTAACTTTTGGTGGGTCACACGCCTTGTTTCATGATAATTATAGTCACCTTGCTTCTGATAGTTAAATGTTGCTTTAGTTGTTGTTAAGCGCTGTCCAATTGATTCTGACTCATAGAAACCCTGTATAGGGTTTCTGAGGAGCAGCTGGTGGGTTTGACCTGTCAACCCTGTGGCTTGCAGTCCAGTGCAGATCCCACAGCTCCACACCAGGAGTCCAAATATTGCCTTTTTTGATGTTAAATGCACTCGAGTCGATTCTGACTCATAGCGGCCTTGTATAGGGTTTTTGAAGAGCGGCTGGTGACGTTGAACTGCTGACGTTACCGCCCAAACTGGCCTTGTGGTCCAGCGTGTTATCTTGCAGTGGCACAGTGTTGCCTTTAGCTGCTATTATTTTAAGTTCTTAGCACTCACATTACAGTAATAGGATCTCCAGAATCTCCTACCTTCTTTCCTAGTTTACAAAGGATAGCCACCGCTAAGACTTAGGTTGTGTTTATTAGCAGTTCCTTTTTGTTTTGGTAAGCAAAAAAGGGACCATTATCAACTGGTGGGGTTTCTGCCTTTATGTAGTATGTTCACTCTGTTGTTGTTAGTTGTCATCCCATTGGTACCGACTCATAGCGACACTATGCACAGCAGAAGGAAACACTGCCTGGTCCTGGGCCAACCTCACAATTGTTGCTGTTTTTTTTTTTTTTTTTCCAAGTTTTCATTGTGAATTGAGTGATAGTTTACATGGGAGAACATCGGCACAAAAACACTCAGGAATATATAATCATTTAAACAACCAAAAGGCACATTCATTCTGCAAGCCTGCCTCCTGGTCATAAGCATACAGCCTTTCTCTTTCCATGAGTCTTGAGTCCTCAGCTACTCTCTCTCCATGTCCTCATCTCTGCCTCTATCTCTAGTTTTGCTACTTCTCTGGATAATGTTCCACTCCAAAATCAAAGATAAGGACAGAATCCTGAAAGCAGCTAGGGAAAAGAAAAGTAAAACATACAAAGGCAAGCAAATCAGATTAAGCTTGTATCTTTCAACAGAAACCATGCAGGCAAGAAGGCAATGGGAAACATGTATTAAACCCTGAAAGAAAAAAAAAAAACTGCCAACAAAGAATCCTCTACCTAGCAAAGCTGTCTATCAAATACGATGGTATAATGAAAACATTCCAGGGTAAACAGAAGCTAAGGGATTTTGACAAAGCCAACCCTGCTATGAAAAACATCCTAAAGTAAGTTCTATGGACTGAGAACCAACAAGAACAGACAACAAACCAGAGAGTGATGTACATGGCAGCATCACCCTGAACTCATTTGCCAAATGGAAGAGTCAAAAACAGAATAAAATTATAAGAACAGAGGATATGGAAGGTCAGTCTATGATTAAAATAATTACAGTGTGAAAGAAGGAAAACACAGAGGAACAGAGATCCAGGTGGTGAGAAGGTTGGGTAGATTACAGGATAAAATAGATGGTCTTAAATGGATGGAAGAGTTAATGGAATATAAGGCAACCACAACAGTGGGGTTGGGGTTGGGGTGGGGTTTTGTTTCGGTGTTGGGGAAGGCAATACAAGAAGGGGGAGGAGGTGAAGAACAAGATAGATAGGGAAACACTGAGACAGGTGTACATGGCCTAAGTGGGACAGAGGTAAATAGTGATGCATGCTCAACCTTGGAACAGCAGGGCTCTGTGATACAGGGATCTAGGAATAGGCTCCCTCTCGAAAGCTTGTAAGCCAGTCACTTCATGCCTTTGTAGGCCCCTTTTTTGGGTAGCCTATGTCTAAGTTGCCCATCCCTGTCAACCTGTGTACCGAGGGAGTTGTAAAGAATTGTTCCCTCTTTTGAGCTACTACATCCAGTGCAGGTCAAGTTCATCAAATTGCATCAGATTACTCTTTTTTTCCTCTTCTCTCTTCTTCTAGTTGAGTTCTGATCATTCAGTCATTGAAGCCAGGTCAAGTGGGTATTTTCTGCAAGTGTGGGTGTTCTTATGCATATGCCCTCTCTTCTTATCAGCTGGATACTTCACTCTCCACTCTAGTCCTCTGTGGCTATGTCACTGATTCTGGGCCCAAGAGTCTACAGGTCTTGCCACACTGCTGGCCAACCAGGTCTCCACCCAGGTTCACAGGAGTCTATTGAAGGTTGTAGGGCTTAGCTCGCAGCATCATTGCTGTGTTTCCCTCACTTCCCCTTATTGGTGACGAATGTGGCCATTAATCAGCGTGTGTATTTCCATTCAGTCTTAGTCTTGGAATGGGGTTTGCCCTGAGGGGACCCGACCACTTGCCTTGATGTTTCCTAGGCGAGCAACTTGCTTGTTCTTGTAGTAATCAGTCATCTGCCTATATTGTTTTGTATTTTTCCTTTTGGTCTTTCTTTCCAGAAGTATCTTCTGTTATTCCAGCCACTCCAGGCTGGTCTGCTTGTCCTTTCAAGTGGTAATTTCCCACCTCAGAAGATTCTGGATGGGGTTCAAGATTCCACCTATGGTCTTATGCAATGCAGAGGCTC